TTCACATATAATAACTGTAAGTGTATTTTAAGTTCACTTGGTAAAGAAGGATGACTTAAAGCTTTGAGGTGGGAGGTTAAAAGTTCAAACCTTAGCTTTAACATATTTTGCAACAAACATGTGACATGTTGTATGATAGTGATGTGGCTTGAAGAGGTGCACACATGGCAATTAACATGGCATCATTTGCCGAACACGTGGAGTATGGCGTGACACAAGGTGGCAAGTGACAAGGTATCATCTTCCACACACATGGCGTGTAACATGGCATGAGGTGGTGTGTAACATGGTAGAGGTGATGGGTGACGTGACACAAGGTGACAAGTGACATGACATCATCTACTATACATGTGGCGGGTGATGCGCCATAAGGTGGCATCACGTAATACATACGTGGCAGAGTGATATGACATTAAATAAATTATTTATTTTTTCAAAAAAAAGTTTTAGTAGTGACAAACTATCAGCAACAAGAGTTATAATAGCAACATTTTAGTAGTGACTTTTGACCTTTTGACGGTGGCTTTTTGTCTCTGCAAAAAGTCTTTTTTTTTTTTGTAGTGATGTCACCACATGCACATATATGTAGTAGGATTTGGATCTTACTATTTTTAAAACAATTCAATTGAAATTTTATAAAATTTAAAAATTTAAAAAAAATAAAAAGTATTTATTAAGGAAATTTATTGAACTTCTAAACTTATTTGAAAAATTTAAAATTTATAATAAGTCATATAATAACAAACTTATTAATTTTAGAATTACAATGTTTTCTATACCAATGGGAACATGGGCTGACTCATAAGAAAAACATTTAGCATGAACACAAATCTCCATGAAAGATTAATTGCTGTCCCCTAAAAGTGATACAAGGAATGAGAAAGAATATTGCTTGTTGTATAATTTTTCTTTTTGGTTATTTTGTTGATGATGGACTGTATTTTCATTATCATTGTATTATTTTGATTTGTGATAACTAAAATGAAAATTTGTGTTTTTATCTAAAATAAGCTTGAGATATCTATAAGCTGTTTGATGTGAAACGGAGCATGACTTTTAGTGACTCACAAGTCAAGTAGACCATATCCCATATACATACAAATTAAATAAAAGTTGACAAATATAGTCAATTCAAGACAGAAGACTTTTGATTTGTGAAAAATGAATTATTATTTTGAGAAGAAAAATCTTGCTGAAAAAATGAGAGAACTCTTTAATTGAGAAAAATTAAATATTTTTTTGCATCCTATTTATTTAGCCAATCCAATATAGTTACCAACATTACTTTTACATTTTACTTTCATATAATAGTTACCACTTAATTACTAGACTTGAGGTTGATTTATGATTTATAATTTTTATGGGCACACACTTGAAAAAAATGATTCTACAATTAATAATTTATAAATAATATAACTTGTTATTAAATTTTATCAAAGGGAAAAAGGTTTATTTGTTGTGGAAGTCAATTATTGCAAAATTGAGAGTATGTTTTGCGAACACTCTTTATTTTAACAATGCTATAAGATAATTTGCATACAGATAGAGATGTTAAAATTTAATAATTATTATAACAATGAACCTATTGATCTAAAGATTATAATTATGTTATCTCGACCAATTAATGCAACCTAAACTATTTTCAAGTGTTTTGCCTTTTTAAACAAACAAGCTTGTGAAAAAGAGGGGTCCTCTGGTTCGAACTTCCAATAGGCTCATATGCTTCTCAATTTCTTTGTTCTTTTTTTTTGGGAATATAGTAGGGCACAAGCCTAAAAGAAACATAAAATAAAGGATTAAATTATAAATCAACCCTTAAAATTTCCAGCCAAGTGCAAGTCATATTCTAATGTATTTTTTGGAGTAATTTCACCCCAATGTTTTTAATTTAGGTACATTGTCACCCTGATATAACTATTTGACCATGTTGACCATTAAATTAAAAAATTTCATCATTAATTGCCTTGTTAGCTACACATATTAGCATCCAAATGAGATCCTCTAATGTTCTTTACCCCTTCACTTCTCTCCAAACCCAGATCCTGTTCATCATCATCATCTTCTTCTTCTTCTACCTCCTCCAAGCCTTGATACCATTCATGAACCCTCATCTTCTTCTACCTATTCCTATTTGTGAAGATGGTGATGAAGGAATCATTACCACATGTTCATTTTTCTTCTTCTACTTTGAAATCTCTTATTCCTTATCCAAAAATCATCACCAAAAAATCTCTCCGGAGGCATGAGAAAATCTCTTTAGAGTAAAGGTTCGAGAAAACCTTCTCTGCCAATCTTTCCCTTTGAAGGCACGAGAAACCCTAAAGATTTGAGAAGAGTGATGGTGCCAACTATGGAATCCATTACTACTTCCATTGCTACCTCATCCACTTCTTTTTCTAAGGTCACCATTTTCTCTACTAGAAAATCTCTTGCCCACACAAAATCATCAATGATTTATGCCTTCTGGTTTTGATTTTTTGCTTTTTGTTTGTTGATTTCAACTATGGTGATTGATTTTTGTCTCTATTTTGATTTCTACTTCTAGATTTGTTAACATAAAGAGTGTAAAGGGAGAAACAGAGATAGATCAAGATAGAGGAAGTGATTAATAGAATATGAAGCTAGAGAAGGTTGAGGGTTACTTTGGTATGAATAATGAGTGAAGAAAATGCTCGTGTGTGAGAAGTTGATGATAATGTCGATGTCAAGCTCTTCAATCATTTTGAAAATTTTTGGGTTCCAAAATTTTTGAATTTTCTCTGTTTCATAGTCATTCTTTGATTGTTCTGATGCCTTGAATATAAATCTTACTTCAATTATTCTGGATTTGAAAGGCAAACTATGGCTTAAAAAATTTTATTTTGATTTGTTTATTTTGTTTTAAAATTGGATGAAGATTGCTGGATCTAGGCTTGTTTATTTTACTTTGATTGTTCTTGGTTTGGAATTCAAGTTTTACTTTTACTTTGATTTGTTTATTTGACTGGCGATGAGGGATGAAGATGAGGGAGGTTTCATCAACGATGAGGGATGAGATGAGGGAGGGAAGGGGATAGGTCAGCAAGGTGATGAGGTGGATGGGAAGTGAATAAAAATATGACATGTCGAAGGAAAGAAGGTGATGTGAACGTAAATATGGCACTTCAGTAAGCAAATAATGGTCAACACAATCAAGCCCTTTAATGGTAGGCCAAACTTGTACATAATTGAAAATATTGGGAGGAAATTGCACTAAAAAATACTTAAAAATATGAGATGCTCCTGGATGAAAATTTCGAGGGTAGATTTATACATTAATCCTAAAATAAAAATAACCAACTCAACCCCTTTTAAACCCAAACCCATATCTATCATCCAAACAAATTAGCCTAACACATTCAATTTCTTAATCAAAGTATGTCTAATATCACATCCCAAAAATAAGGTGTGAACAACACAAGATATGTAAAAACTCATATCATATAAGCCTTAATTCAAGAAACTTCTAATTTAATAATTTGAAGTTGTTAATAATAAGATTAGAATTTTTTTCTTAAAACAACAAATTTATAACAATTCAGCAACAATTTTACTTAATTTAGCGATAAAGCTCCCAGTAATCAACAAATGATATAGGTCTAGCTATTATCTAAGGTCTAAATATTTTTCAGTGAATAATATTCCAGAATAAAATTAAAATTAAAAATGATAAAAAAAGAAGTATAAATAGAATAGGCTTGAATTTAACTAAAATAATTATTTATAAAAGCAATGGTGTATAACTCAAACTTAATATTTTCATTTAAGCATTTAATCTAAAAATATCCTCATATGATAACAACACGCAATCAAATCTCACTTTCTAAACTATCAAACTCATATTAAACAATTAAGAAATCCAACTCTCTCATTACAATGAAATCCATTTATGAAAACAAAATTGTCTAATAAAATTCATAAAAAAAAATTAATTTCCAAATATCCTTTAACAGGACTAAATTAGAATAGATAATAAGCGTGGATAAACAATCTACAAGGATAAATAATCAACAAGCATGGATACATCATCTATGAATAGTAAGTAACTAATTAAGCATGACTAGAAATCATAAAACAAGCACGGCATAGACCACAAATCAAGCATAAGTACAATGTTCACGAATATTTATCCCTCTATTCCACGTGCGTTGGCTTGCACATGAGATTAGCATCTCCTACAAACATCCTGCTAATTAAGTGTATCATGGCGTGTCAAGGGCAAACAAAACTACTGTTAGCAACCAGCATTTTGATTCATTTCCACACTTTAAGTCAAACATACATAAATCATAATAAAAATCATTTCTTAAATTACAAAATCAAACATTGCTAATATATTAAAAAAGGTAGATACCCAATCGTAAAATAGTTCTAACTCTTCTTGTAAAACTTGATGCAATAGAAATATTTTTATTCATGATAATTGATAATGAAGTTTAAAATATAACGATATAAATAGTCATGAATGTACTTAAATGTTATTGTGAAGAAAATAAATTTACTAATAAGTCATTTGAAATAATGAACACTTTGAAACATATAATTTACTCCTAATTAACCACTCTTATGACAATGTCTGTGCCTTAATTTCCTATTTTCCAAAGTGATATCATTGTTATTTCTTTTATACATGTTATAAACTTAAAACTTGCAATCCAACCAAATTAACAAGCTTAATAGTTTTTCAATTCAGAAATTTTTTTTGAGGGGCTACAACCCCCCTTTTTTGTAAAGAAAGAAAACTATATATGGATACTAACTCCTAAAAAGATTCATTCATTTGATAAAACAAATTCAAAACACACAGCATGTCACGCCCCAAATTTTAAGATGTGACTGGCATAGGAAACGCATAAATTCATATCCTTAAAGCCTTGATTACAGGAAATGTTTGATTTTAACCATAACCCATTTATCATACAAAATAGAATTCTTTCAACACACGCATATTTAACACAAAATCATGCACTTTCTTGGCAATTTTGACATAACCTCCTCTAAAATAGGATGTATTAACAATTCTACAACAACATTTTTCAGCACAAGATGACAATAGGTAGCTCTACTCTTATCATAAAATTAATATAGGAAATTCAATGAGGACCCTAACTATAATTTATGTAGAGCATTTAGGATAAAATTTACAAAATACAAAGTATAACACATAAATTCAAGTTCTATAATGATTAGAAATTTAACCAAAATAATGTTTCAACTCCAATTTAGAAGTATACCCCTCAATGATCATTTGAAAGTCCAAAGCCATCTACACTATCTGAAACCAAAAATATTTTCTAATAAATAACATCCCAATTATAAAAATTAGAGGAAAAAAACTAAAGATATAATAAAGGAAACATGTAACTATTTTAAAGTCTAAAATATCTGGGACATTTTGACCATCCGAATGAAAACAATATGTACCCATCATCATACATTTTCCTATTTGCACAATTATAATTATAAATATAAATCAACATTTAAACCGTGAATAATTTAACTAATAAAATAAAGATTGTAGTAACCTTGTCAATATAAATAAGATGAAATTATACTCCCTCCGTTCAAAAATATAAGGCATTTTTTAAGGAGTTTAATGTTAAAAATATAAGACATTTTTAGTCTTTTAAGATATAATCATTACCTTTTTTTTTTCAAAAGTGCCCATATTGATAATGACTTTATATTTATTATAGGGTGTTTAATATGGGTAAATATAAAAAGATAAGATTAATTGAAAAGTAGTTAACTATTTATTAGGGATGAGATTCGGTTAAAAATGTTTTATATTTTTTTAACGGAGGGAGTATATAATAAATTAATTAAAAAAATTATGTTTTATTGGGACTTTACCAAACAGGTAACAAACGTGGACAAACATTCACGATGGTAAGTAACAAACACGGCTTATTTCACAAAACAAATGTGGATACACAGTCTACGAGGATAAATAAACCACAAAAACAACATGAGTATGAGACCCACAAATAACAAACGTGAAAACAGAGCTCACAAAAATTAAAGTAGCTAGTCATTGATCATGACATGCCAGGGGCTAACAAAGCTGTCATTAGCAACCATTGTTTTGTATATAGTCCTTTCGAAAAAATTTTCAAATATGCGAGCAAATAATCACTTCCAAAAATATAAAATTCTCTTCTCAATATCAAACTCACATGAATCATTTTAAACATCAATATTCTAAACATAAAAATTCATAACTAATATTTTTTAAACTTTTCCACCAAATTCCAAGCTTGCCCTTATCATGTAAAAAAAAAATTCTATACCTTATAAAAACACTTATGTCAAGCTAAAATGTATATTTTATAAGGAATTGTACAATAAATATAAAAATTTATCTATTATTCACCATATATACGTGAGATTAGAAATTTATTTAATAAAATATTCAACACTTGAAATCACTTAAAATAGTACGTGTGATCTATTTAAAAAATATAATATTTCAATAAAAAAAAATTATTGATAAGTTAATTGAGATGTTATTCATTTACGTGTAATGTTTACAAGTATAAAATTCACTCTCTAAGACTTCAATCAATTCTTCCAAGCTCTAAACACCCTATGTAAAATAACTCTTTTCCAATATTAACAATATCATAATTAACTAAGTTTTCAAATCAACATAATTTATATATTAGTTTCTCCAATCCCTACTATACTTTATATAAATACTTTTGTGACCAACACAATAATCGTAAATGATATTTTCAACTCTTCTAACATATAGTTCTTTGGAGTTATAAAGAAACAACTTCACTTCCTAGTTAAAAACGTAAATCCAATAAACTTACACCAAAATTTTTCTATCAAAACTTTTATCAAACACTTTATGTGCATTCAAAATGTAACCCATAAAGTAACAACTTAATCCATAAACTACCAATCATACATCTCCATTCAACACAGTCCTTCAAAATTTCCTCAATGAATTTTTCTTAACATTTTTCCCAAAGTAATAGCAAAATAGAATTTTGTCTCCATCTTCCTCATCTTATCACAAGGAGAGAGAACATAAATATCCCAATCTACTATTTTCAAGCAAATAACATGTTAATTCCTCACTTTTATTACATCATCCAAGCACAACCTTATTTCTTTATTCTATCCACTTAACTAAAATGGTCAATCAATTCATTTATATTTCCAGCTCTAGAAAAGAAGCTAAATTTGCAAGTAAGCTAGCGAGTAATATACGTGTATATGTGCAGCTTCTTATATAAATATAAGTTTGCAATACTTATAAAGCAAGTAGCAGTAGCCATATATAGAAATGTCCTTAACGTTTCAATCTTTAGTTTGCTTAAAACTTGCTCTCAACACATTCATTTATGGCAGCTGAAAAGAAAAAAGTCAAAATCTTTTAACCACCTAAACACTCACACACGTAACTGATGCAGAGAGGAAGAGAGGTGAGGTTCAACTCACCAATGAAGCAATTGAGGAATGAAGGAAGAAGATCAATGCTTCCCACGGACACACGAGCATGGCAGCAACGCAAATCAAGGAACAAAGCAAGCCGACAGCAACGCAAGGGAACTGAAAGAGAACATCGACGGAATCGTTACGGCAGCGGCAGATCTCGACCCACACCCACTGATGACGAACAGGACAGCGAAGGAAGCAGGAAGGAGGCGATGATGAAAAGCAAGACCTCTCGCTCTCGCTTGGGGTTCTGGAACAAGCAAGAATAACTGAATAAGGAAGGAGGGAATGAAAAAACAGCTAGTGTGCGGGCTTGTTGAGTTTCTGATTTTATCTCTATTGTGTTGTTTTTTTCTAAGGACAAAATAGTAATTTAATAAGGCTGAAACTTAAAAATAAAATAGAACTCCCATTGCCTGCAAAGATTAGAGCCCAGCACTAATAAATGAATTGTTAGCATAAGTAACCTCCAGTTAACCACCATTTCTCTTGATATATCTAGTAGAAATTTTCCTAAAAGTATTCTTAAATATTTTATGACAAAATAATAATTTTCCTAAATTTTTTGGGGTTATGACACAGCATACACTTATTAATGTTTTGTCCTTGAAAATAACTAAGCCCACTTGA